AGAGGGACAGGAAGAGTGAGCTGGATTTAGCACTATGATGTGCCAAGACAGAGTCTCCAAGAATGTTGTTCCTGGTATCCAATCAGAGGGATGCTGCCTACAAGATAAATAAGTGATGAGTATATGTGGTGGTAAGGAGCTCTGGTAGCGTAGTGGTTACGAATCGGGTTGCGAACCTTAAGGTCAGCGGTTCGGAACTACCAGCCGCTCCGCGGGAGAAAGATGAGGCTTTCTACTCCCGTAAAGATTTACACCCTTGGAAACCCTGTACAGGGTCGCTATGGGTCGGAACCGACTCGACGGCACTTAACAACAACAACATATGTGGTGGTGGTGGTTATGTGCCGTGGAGTCGGTTCCAACTCATAGAGACCCTGTACAGGGTTTCCGAGGCTTTAAATCTTTATGGGGGCGGAAAGCCTCATCTTTCTCCTGCGAGATAGCTGGTAGTTTCAAACTGCTGACCTTGAGGTTCACAGCCTGATTCATAACCACTACGCTAAATTTGTTGCTGTTTGCCGTCCTGTCGGTTCCAACTCAAACAGCGACCCTGTGTAGGGTTTCTAAGGCTATAAATCTCTATGGAGTAGAAAATCTCATCTTTCTCCTGTGGAATTGCTGATAGATACAAATTTCCCACTCTTTGTGGTGCTGTAGGCTCAATACTGGACCGCGAGGTCAGTTTAAACCACAAGATTGGTGGTTCATTCACACCTGCCACTCATCGGAAACCTGTCTTATACAGGGTCGCTGTGAATTGGAACAAACTCTACAGCACTTAAAAACAACAACTGCCCTGTAGTTAACAGCCCAGTGTGTAACTACACTATTACAGAGGCTCCAAGGTTTAAATAATAAATGAAAATGCCTACATGCAATGACCTACAACTGTACAACTAATTAAAATAATGTACACAATATGGATCTTGCCTAAAACATCACCATAGGATTCATGCTTTATTAATTACTCAGTTATCTTTTTAACTTGTTTATAAACAGTGACAGAATTGTTCCACATTGTACAGTGAGTGTAGCCATCAAACACAGTGTTTTCATGTAAGACTACTTGACTTGTCTGCACCCAAACAGGACTGGGGCTAAATCAGAAAAGAATGTGACCCAATATACTATTGATTTGTTCTGGTTAAATGTTCTCTTATCCAAAGTTACGTAATTGTTGTTAAGTGCTGTCAACTCTGACTCATAGTGACCCTGTGTAAGGTTTTTGAGGAGCTTCTGGTGGGTTTGAACTGACATTGTGGTTAGCAGTCCAGTGTGTACCCTAAAGCATCAAGTCAGGACTATACTTGTGGGTAAGTTACCTAAGCAGTCCTAGGAATTACATCTATTTTCTTTTCAGACTGGTATGAAACCATTTTCTAATGTAATCCAGAACTCCCATTCTGAGGATCTCACCATTACTGATTTGTTATTGTTGTTGTTAAGTGCTGTCGAATTGGTTCCAACCCATAACGACCCTGTATAGGGTTTCCAAGGAGCTGCTGGTGAGCTTGAACCACCGACCTTGCTGTTCAAACGGCTTTACAGTCTGGTGCAGTAACCCACAGCACTACACCATTAGTTCTGGTTAAATTTTCTCTTATCCAAAGTTACATAATTAGTGACTTTCGGAATGCGTCTTTTATGTGGCAAAAATAATGACTTTGTTATGTTGTTGTTGCTAATTGTTATCTAGTCGGTTCCAACTTAGAGTGGTCCTGTATAGGGTTTCCAGGGAGCTGCTAGTGAGTTGGAACCGCTGACCTTGCTGTTAGCAGTTCAGTGCATAAGCTACAGTGCTCACCAGGACTCTGACTTGTATATTGCTGTTGTTGTTAAGTGCCATTGAGTCGGTTCTGACCCATAGAAACCCTATATAGGGTTTCCGAGGGGTGGCTTGTGAACTTGAACCGCCGACTTGCAGACCAACCTTACAGTCGAGCACATTAACCCACAACACCACATGTAAGATAGGTTTATTTCTGTGTCAGTACATTTTTATTAATTAACTTGGTTCCTTTAAAAACAGAAAAATTATTATCAATTTGTCCCTTAATGAGTGCACAGGTAAAATGGATGGCATAAAACTACGTTGTATATGTTGTTTGTTGTTAAGTGCTGTCAAATTGGTTCTGACTCACAGTGACCCTGTGTAAGGTTACTGAGGCAGTGCATCTTTGTAGGAGCAGAAAGTCTCATCTCCCTTTTGCAGAGCAGCTGCTGAGCTTGAACCACTGATCTTGTGGTTCACAGTCCAGTGCTTACTCTACAGAGTCATCATATTCCCTACATGTCTTGTTGTATGTGTAGCCTACATTAAAACTATAAAGGGAAAAGGATAACACCAAACAGCAAGATTTGCTATATACTCCAGAGTATGTTTGTTTGTTTCTTATTTATTTTTAAGAACGTATGGGCCTCTTTTGATGGGTAGATCATCAGAATGGGAGTACTGAATTACAATAGAAAATTGTTTTATAATACAGTCTAAAAAGGACCCAAATGTAATGCTTAGGATTATTTAGATAAATTGCCCATAAATATGAGGACCTATGCTAGGTTGATTAATCTCTTCTACTAAAATGTCATTTTCATTAATGTAAAAAAAAAATGAAAAAGTACAAAGAAGCAACAAAAAAAAGTACATATATCTTAAACTAAAAGAAAAAAGAAACCATATGATACATTCATGGAATTCTACCTAAATAAATTAAAACATAAATGTTTCAATAAATATAATTAAATCAAGAAAGATATATTGTTGAAAGTTAAAGTAAAAAGAGGAATCGTTTAATTTCCCTCCATCATTTCTGTGGATTCAGCCATGTTTACTACACTGAGAACAGATGACACCCCCAAAGGAAACAAAACTTGATTGAGCTATCAGTACGTAGAATTTTAAGTAAACAGAATCAAGGGATGGCCATGCATTTAGCTTGGGCTACTGCATAGGTGTTTCAGATGATTTATGTGCTTTTTTAAAACTGTCAAAATTCATGAAAGTTTGATGTTTCATGAGAAAGGGGAGGAGACCAGACTTGGTTTGCTTCCATGGAGTCAGTAAGCAAGGGATTACTTTACCTAGGAATTGTTGTTAAGTGCCGTCAAGTCACTTCTGACTCATAGCGACCCTGTGTGGAGTGTATGTAGAAGTATGGTTTGAACCTAATATGCTTAGCTGTAATGTTTAACACAGAATAACTAATTTACAAGAATTCTACCCCCAAACTAGGTAACAAGGCAACATATTGTCAGGTCATTAGTGATTTAATAATGTATGTTTCTCCCAAGAGTAAGGGACAAAATAAATTTACAAGCAAGGAAATGCTTTACAGAGTTCAAACCCCTAGAGCACTGTTAACATTCATTATTATTCAGATGAGCTCTTGGGCTTGAAATTGCTCAGTGTCTCAAAGTGCTTATCAGATTTTGGCTCAGACTAAGGTCCTGTAGAAAGTTATTACAATTTTATACACAGAAAACACTCAATTTAATACACAGTGTCAGGAGTCCTGGTGTGTGTGGCGCTGTGGGCTAATGCACAGGACTACAAAGTCGCTTTGAACCATAGGGTTGGTGGTTCAGGCTCACCAATCACTCCTCGGAAACCCTATACAGGGTTGCTATGGATCAGAACCGATTCCACAGCACTTGACAACAACAACAACAACAATGGGATAGGTGGTAGAGCTGCAGATAATGGTTTGACCATGACATTTATCTCCTAAAAATTTCCATACACTCTTATTTATTCATTAAATTGATTTTTTTTTAATGTGGTGAATAATTTTTAGGCCCCAGGCAGCTGGGGATATTATGGAAACCAAGACAGATCTAGTTCCTGGTATTTGGAGGGGTTTCATTCTGGTGGTAAAGAATAGACGATAAAAGATGTGTGGCACTGTAGGATGAGGGCTAACTGCAAGGTTGGCGGTTCAAACCCACCAGCTTTTCCTTGGAAACCCTTTACAGGGCTGCTATGAGTCAGAATCGACTCGACAGTACTTAAAAACAACAACAACAATAAATAAGTGAAAATAATTCTTATAAGGTAAATAAGGAACAAGGTGAGTTATAAAATCACTAGGGGCAGAATGAAAGAAAATGACTTTAGATAGGGTAATCCTAAAAGATTTATCTGAGGAGATGACATTCAAGTAGATAAAAGGATGCTTAAGAACTAGAAAGCATTTCAAGAACCTTATCCCAGAGCCTAGGAGAAAAAAAGCCTTCCTGAGCTGGTGCCCTGAATTTGGACTTCTAGCCTCCTAGCCTGTGAGGAAGTATATTTTCTTTAAAGCTATCCACTTGTGTTATTTCTATTACAGTAACACTAAGAAACTAAGACACAAACCCAAGTCCTTTAGTAATATTTTTATATTAGATTAGAATATGTTACTTGACACATTAAGATTTTGAGAAAAAAAACAAAAAAACACCCCAAATAATCCAAATTATGCTAAGAAATCATTTAGCCCTCTCAATTAGAGATCATTTCTACTTTTAAGATGAGATAACAAATTGAGATTCCACATCTGAACGTAAAAGTGTAAGGTCACAATTCCTGTGTACAGTTCCTAAACCTGCGAATCTCAAAGAACTGTACATTATGGTGGCAAATCTTACCTGACCTGAATGCTATGAAATACATCGACTATATACAATATTATTTATATAGAATATGGAAAATCATTCATTCCAAAACACATTTGCTCCCAAGTTTCAGAGGTGAGGGAGATCAAAGGATTTAAAAGAGCAAACCTGGGCATAATATGTAAATTTAGGTTTCAGAAATAAGAGTGTTGGATTAGATGACCTCAAAATCCATAATAGTTATTAAATACTAGGATTCCACCTGGTTGAATAGTACCCTCAAGCATATAACAAATTCTGTTGAATTGTGAATTATGTTAAATTAGGGGCATTTCGCTTAGCTAAAAGTGACAAACACACATTATGAGATGTGTCTTCAATGATGTAATTTCATTCTGGATTAATACCTGCTGTGCCCACCACAGAAGAAATGTCTTCCATAATAGTCTTGTGGATGTTAGGATGAGAAAGGACAAAGGCAAGGGTCCAAAAGGCAACCTTAAAAAAGGAAAAACATGTCAGACACGACTTTTTTGAAGGTGAACAAAAGCCTATTTAGTACTGACCAGTTAAATCGCTGCTTTCTAGTTAGTTAATCCCTACTCATGGAGACTCCATGTGTGTCAGAGCAGAACTGTGCTTCACAGGGTTGTCAAGGCTGTGTGTGACCTTTCACAAGCAGATCCCCAGGGCTCCTTTAGTGGCACCTACAGGGTAGGTTCCCTGCCAACTTTTGGCTAATAGTCCAACATTTAACCATTTGTGCCAGCTAAGAACTCCTATATTTAATATCAACCACTAACACTTAAAAGAAATGCAGAATATGCTTAGATACATTTTATAAGTATGTTACTAAAGGGCTTTCACATTTTTAATAGCAATATTAAAATGTTGTTTAAATTGTTTAGTGTATATAGGCATACACTAAAATTTGGAAACCTCGAATATAGCACTTAATCTAAAACAAAGACATTTAAAAAATTAATTTCCTTAAAATACGAGTGAATTAGCAAACCATACACTGCAAATAAAATATGGTCATTTTAAATCAGCCCAAGAAACTATACTAAAAATGTCATAAATTATGACAGTACTGCTAACTCAGGGTTATTTCAGGCCTGGGTGTTACCGAATATAATATATATACTTGAGGGGCCTCTTTCTGATCCAAACAAAAGTCTTTTGTATATTTCCTCATTGTGAAGAAATAATGTTTATAGTTTGTAAAATAAAACTGTCCTGCTTTTAGTTAAACATTCACTTTCCACTCCTTTTTAAAATTTCTTCTAGTTATGCAACAAAGGAAACCTATATTAATCATTAAAAGCAACTTGGGTTTCCCTTCCAATTTTTTTGTAAACATTTTTTTGTCAAAGCAACTATATGTAAGAAATTCAGTCCTAAAGAGACTCAAAGATACCTTGTGTACATGTAGTCTCTTTGCTTCTTTTGTGAGCCATTATGTAGCTTTATGTAATTCCAGTACTCCCCTCTGTGGTCAAAAGAGGAAGAGCAGTTTTCTGAAAGGAAATGCCCGAATTAAATACTGCTCATAGCCACCTCCCCCTTATGACATTAAACTGATATTGCAAAAATAAATATGATACTGTTTATATCAACAACATGAACAGGAGAATCAAGGCCTTTACAATCGCAGACCCTCTTTCTGTGAATTGTTTAGATTAGAACGGCTTTCCCAGAGATCGCCTGGTGCATTGTCACATAGATCCTGATGCTACATGCTCTCTCCTGTCTCCCCATTCAGGCCCTTTCTAGGGACATCTATAGATGGGAATGTAGAGTTTGACTGAATGATTACCCACACAACTCTCAGTTCATCTTATTTGAAGAGTTAGAGTTCACGTTGGGAGGGGGAAGACCTTTGTGATAACACATAACACATAGATTTTTATTATTTTTTTTATTTTTAGCTACTCTAAAGAAGGGTTTGGAGTTTTATGTACTTAATTCAAACTTTAGGGATTCACTAAAATTGGGTCAGACTTATTTTTATGACAAACACAGGAACTCAACTAAACTATAAATGGCTGTATAAGAGTGTTAGTTATCACTTTTAATGCATCTTTTTAAAAGAGTTTTCTCTTTTAAAAAATAAATATTATTTTCTACTTAACATACAAAAAGTAATTTAACAAAAAGGAAAAAAGCCATATAAAAGGATAATCAGTAGGACATTTATCTACATGACCAAATCAACAAACAAGAATAAGTAACTTTGAAGTTTTTGTGTACCCACACTTAGGAAAGGACTCTAATAGTACCAAGTAATACTTTGCCCATGAGGTCAAGTCATGGTTAGGATTGAGCAAAAATCAGAAGGACCACGGAGCTCACTGACGTGCAGAGCCATCATCCACAGAGTCACTCCACTGTTTTGGAGAGTTAAGAACCAAGGTGAGGAGGGAAAAGACAAAAGCTCTTATCCTTCTGGGTCAAGAGAAGATGAATTCAAGATGTTCTTCAGCATCACTTATTCATCCATTCAAAAATGATTTAATAAATATTTATGGAATATCTATTATATGACAAATAGTCTTCTATCAGTCACTAACAAACACAAATATGAGGGTAGGTTAAAAATATTGCTACTAGGATCCTAATTCATATATGCATACATTTATATCAAACAAAACATATTTAAACATGCTTAGTGGATGGTTCCAGACAAGTTCCAGTAACACAATTGTCTTAATCTCGTTGTTACGTGTCATCCAGTTGGTTCTGACTCACAGCAACCCAGTATAGCATTCCCATGGAATGACTGGTGAGCTGGAACCACCAACCTTGTAGTTCAAACCAATCTTGTGGTCCAGTGCTCATCCTACAGCATAACACCAGGACCCATTAGTCTCCTTGTTGTTAAGTGCTGTCGAGTCAGTTCCCACTCATAGCAACCCTGTACATGATTTCCGAGGAGCAGCTGGTGGGTTTGAACTGCCAACCTTGTGGCCTGTAGTCCAGTGCTGATCCTACAGTGCCACACCAGGAGTGTATCTTCTGGTCCAGTTAAATTCAGGGCAGGGAGGTCTGTCAGAAGCTTGTGGAGCCTGCTTTCTGATAGATTTTCTAGGATAACACGGGGGTCATGAGAGCTTTCTCAAAAGATGGCCATGGGGGTTTCTTAGGAAGAAATTTAAGAATATGGAAAACTATTCACACTGGTGAATAAAATACCACCAAAATTGTGCTGAGGCATTTTTTCCATTGTGAAAATGTACCTTTCATTCTTCAAGGGTGGCAAGGGCTGTCTTCAAGTTTGCTTGAGACATCTTATCTTATCTACCTTACAGCCTTGATCTTGCCCCTTTTGATTTCTTTTTGTTCTCCAACACAAAGAGCATTGAAAAGGAACACTATTGGAGTCCCTTGAGAATGTCCAAACATCTTGATGCTGTATAAATCAAAGCATGCAGAATACTTTGGGGAATGGTTAGAGAGATGGAAATACCACCTTTAGAAGTATTTAGATCTAGATGGAGGATATATCAAGAAACAGTAGCTTCACACTTTGATATTTTTGTTTGATAAAGGTTTCTAAGACCACAGAAGAATGATGCACTTGAGTTAAGATGTTGGAGAATAATATTAAAAGTACCATGGACTACTAGAAGAACAAACAATCTGTGTTGGAAGAAGGACAGTCAGAATGTTCCTTGGAAGCTAGGAAAGTGAGACTGTCTCTCATACTTCAGACATGTTATCAGAAAGGATCAGTACTTGGAGAAGGACATCATGCTTAGTAAAGTAGAGGGTCAGCAAAAAAGAGAAAAATCCCCAATGAGATGGCCTGGCATAGTGGCAGCAGCAATGGGCTCAAGTATAACAATAATGGTGAGGATGGCCCAGGGCAGAGCAGTGTTTCATTCTATTGTCTTTATCAGTCAGAACCAACTTGACCTAACATCAGGCACCTAACAACAACATCAAAGCAAGCATTAGAAGAGTCTGACAAATATGAAGCAGAAATAAATTAGTTCAGTACAATTCACCATATTTATATAGCCAATAAAGATAAACTAAGATATAGCCCATATATTGCCTTGATTATGTTGACTATAGCCAAACTAAGAAAAAAGATAACCAGAGGACTTAACCAAACAAAAAACATTAGTCACCAATTTTCTTAATATTTCACAGGATCCTGAAAATGTAAAGTATAGCATATTAAAACATAGTATCTTTAATGGAATGTTGCTTTACTGTAGTAAAATAATTACTGTAGCAAACTACCCTAAATTCATAACAGTAAACACTTGTTTCAGTTTTATTTGCCACTAGAAATTTCAGGATCCCCCTCCCCCCAGAGTTTTGAAGATAACCTGAATATTGCTTTGTTTTATTGTAGGGTATTCTAAAAGTTTGGTTATTCATTTTTGTTTGTTTTCTCTCTTTCTGGCTCTCTAATTAAATGTTCAAGGTGTTCAGTTTTATGAACTAGACCTGTTAAAGCCTGCCTTCAATACCCAAGAATTCACCAAATCTCCTTGCACATGTGCAGTTGTTTCTTCACAGTCCCCATGTCAACCTATAATTTTGCCAAAAACTTTCATAATAGGCCGAGTACTTCAAGGGCCCCTCCAGTACTCTGCTTTGCCTCCTGGCCCTCCCTTTCTTGAAGTAGGTCCACATTGACTTTGCTGCAGCTGCCTTACGCCTCACAAACATCTCCTGGACTTTTGTCCAACTTCATGACTCTTCTCTTTCCTGTCTGCTCTCTCAATGTCCCCTTGATCTATTAATCACAGACTGCATTAAAAAGCTTATTAAAATTCTGACAGATGCATGATAGTCATAAGGGATGAGTCCATGTGGAGTATATAAACGGTATGGAATGGATAAGGAGAAATCAAGGTAAATCTGTTATAAGGGTGTAATTGACTTAGCTCATCATATTGCCTTGCACTTAACAACAACAACAACATCATATTGCCTTATCTTAGAAATGCGAAACTGACAACCGGAGTCCTGGTGTGGCACTATGGGTTAATGCACTGGACTACAAGGTCAGTGTGAACTGCAAGTTTGGAAGTTCAAGCTCACCAGCCATCCCTTGGAAACCCTATACAGGTTCGCTATGAGTCGGAACTGACTTGACAGTACTTAACAACAAACTGGAAACCAGAACTTAAACTATCAACTAGTCTCTTAATAGCTTAGTCTGTCTGACTTCATTCACCAGATAAGTTCTAAAGCACAAATTTTAGGCTTCACTTTTTTTTTTTTTTTTCTAAAAAGGCAAGAATAAATCATATTAGCACGTCTACTTACCTTACTAAATTGTCCAGATCCATTGTCCCATGAGGACTTAAATTCTCCATTTGTCTATGTAATTCTTCAATCAGTTGCTCCTTGAGGTGAAATAAGTTCAAGGTCCCCATTTTTCCTTTCATCGTAAAATAGAGTTTGTCATGCAGTGACAAATATGTATCCTTTGGAATTGATACTATAGAAAGAGAAAACTATTTTCAAAATAAGAAACAATTTTGCTAAAATGCAGTCAATATATCTCTACTTTTACTTGGTTAATAGGGGCTATAGCTAAGTGACTCAGTATACGGGATAAAATCACCTCCTGTAAAAAAAAAAAACAAACAAACAAACAAAAAAAACCACCCTACCAATATTCTACCTATAATTTGAGACAGTATGTAGCAAGTATTTAGAGTGATTTACATTACGGGTTGATCTGTATTCTTGGATAATTAAGAGTAACCCCTGGAGGCACAAAGGTGATGATTTTATTTCCATGCTTAAAACCTTTCATTGGCTTCCCATTCTTAATAAAGTTTGGAGGGTTTCTTCCTCCTGGTAACATGTCCAAATTAAGTAAGACACAGTCTCATCCTCCTCACTTCTATGGAGTATTCTGGATGTACTTCTTCCAAGACAGATTTTTTAAATTTTTATGGCAGCCCATGGTGTGGCACTATAGGATAAGCACTAGACTGAAAGGTCAGTATGAACTGCAAGGTTGGTGGTTCAAACTCACCAGCTGCTCCTCAGAAACCCTATAGAAGGTTGCTATGAATCGGAACAAACTCAACGGCACTTAATATTCTCCAACAGTATAAATTGCTGACATAAGACAGATCTTGGCTTAAGAGCAGAGAATGCCCGAAAGATGTTCATTTATGTTTTAGTGACTATGCAAAGGCATTCAACTGTGTGGATCATAACAAATTGTGGATAACATTGAGAAAAATGTGGATTCCTAAACACTTAATTATGTTCATGTGGGACCTGTACAGAGACCAAGAGGCAGTAATTCGTACAAAACAAGGGAATATGCATGACTTAAACTCAGGAAAGATGTGCCTCAGTGTTGTATTCTTCCCCCCAGATTTGTTCAGTCTGTTTGCTGTGTAAATAATCAGAGATGCTGAAGAAGAATGTAGCATCAGAATTTGGCAAAAATTCACTGACAATCTGCTATCTCTTTGAATCTGGCTTGAATTTCTGGCAGCTTCCTATACACGTGCTGCAACCATTTTTTACCTATCTTTATCAAAATTTTACTTGTATGTGATATTAATGATGTTGCTCAATAGTTTCCACATTCCACTAGGTCACCTGTCTTTGTAATGAGCACGAATATGAATCTCTTCCAGTTTGTCGACCAGGATGCTTTCTTCCAAATTTCTTCTTATAGACAATGAGTACCTCTGATGCTACATCAGTTTGTTGAAACATTTCAATTGATATTCGGAGAACTCCTGGAGCCTTGTTTTCCAAGGAAGCCTTCAGTGCCGTGCCATTCCTTCAGTACCATTAGCTCTTTAGGATATGTTACTTCTTGAAATTCAATTGAAAGAAAACAGGAATTCTCAAAACTAGACCAATAAACAGCATCATGATAAATGGAGAAAAGACTGAAGCTATCAAGGATTT